CTGGCAGCAGTGGCAGACAACTAAGTGCATTTACATTAGATAGAAAAAAAAAATCCAAAAAAGCATACCCTTATCCCTAACCTAGCTATGCTTTTCCCTATCTTATGAACAGCAGCTACACTTTCCCTCCTCTTACTAAGCATGCAGCTTGAGAATGAATCTAAAATGGATGCCTTCCAGGAGGTGGGAGGGTCTGCTAGGGAGGGTGTGCTGCTAATTGGCTGGAATGTGTCTGCTGACTGTGAGGTACAGGGTCAAAGTTTACTCAATGATGACGAATAGGGGGCGGGTCGAACCGCGCATATGTTCGCACGCCGTGGCGAACGCGAACATGCTATGTTCGCCAGGAACCGTTCGCCGGCGAACCGTTCGGTACATCACTACTACTAACCTTCTTGCTGGTCTGAAAAAGATTAAGTGGCAGAAAAGAGGTTGGGTAATACTTAAAACACTTGACGAGTATGCACAGGGAATTGCCCGACCTGGGAGACTTGGATTTGACAGACCTAGACGATAGGAATTGACTAGTGAGGCAGGCTCCAGTGATTGATTTTTCAGTAAAGGACCATAGACCCCATGTAAAAGTTGAAATTTACTGGAAAAATAAAAATGTTGAAAGGGTTACTGCCTTTGTGGACACTGGAGCCGAAGCCACTTTAATTCATGGTTTTCCCGTTCCTGTCATAGTCAGTATTTTCTTGGTTTCTGGGTTGTAAGACACTGCTTTCCATTGTCTTTCATTACCAATGTATTTTGCTGAACCATCAGTAAACCAAGTATGCTTTGCTTGATCTTGTGTTAGTTGCGCAAAAGACTTTCCCCACTTTACTGGAGATTCCCCTGGCTTGTCTGCGTCTGGCAGATAACCAGATACTTGTATCGGCGCATCTGCAATTTTCTCATGTAGTACAGCCATACCACCATTTCCTGTTTTAGCTCTGTCCTGTATGTACCACTTCCATTTTATGATACTGGACTCTTGTCTTAGGGGAACTAAGTACCCATTGCATGATAGGTATCTCTGGGCGTAAGAACACTATGTGACCTACCGTCATCTGTTCAGTATCCACCAAGGCCCAAAAACAGGCCAAGAGCTGTCTCTAAAAGGGTGTGTACCTCTCTCCTGCTTCAGGTAACTTCCTTGTCCACAAACCAAGGGAAACCTTAGTCCTTCCTTGTTTCTGCCAAAGGCTCCAATTAGCCCATTGCTGATTTACTGATACATTTAAGACGCCTGCCAGAGTAGAGTACCGACCAGCAGCCCCCCCAGCAGCTACTGGCTACCAAAACCCAACATACCGCACGCCAGCACCCCCTCCAGTTAACAACTATCCTCAGCCACCCCGGTTCAACTCACGGGTTTCGGATGCAAGCAGCTAGGTCTCAAAAGGCCGGAGTGTCCGCTGAATACAGCTAACCAAGCACAGTCCTGGAGGAGACCCGCCAGCGGAAACCAGCGCAACCCTCAGCCTGCTGCTGCGGAGGAATGTTGGGGCATCCTGCACAAGGCAGACCCCGTCCAAGCCGCTCACCGGGACAATCGACAGCAACACCGGCAGCTAGTTAAAGTGAACGGGAAGGAGGTCAGTGGTCTGTGAGACACCGGTGCCACCATGACCTTACTACAAAAGCATTTGGTGTCTGAAAACCAGCACACCGGAGACACTGTGGCTGTGAGAGTAGCTGGGGGCTCTGTGTTCCGTCTGCCCGTTGCCCGGGTGCATTTGGATTTTGAAGTGGGCGCTAGGCACGTGAATGTGGGGATCATGAGGGATTTGCCAGCTGACGTCCTCCTGGGAACGATTTGGCCACCCTTGTTTCAGCATACGCCCCGATGGGTCCCACTGAAGTCAACGCTGTAACGACCCGTGCCCAGACCCGTGCCGCCAAGACCAGCCCACCTGCTGCTGAGACCCAGGTAAGACTCTCTACCCCGACTTGTACCCTAGATCAGGCCCCCTTAGGCTGGAATACCCCAGAGATATACGGGAGGGAAACCCGGGAGGACCCGACCCTTGAGAAGTATAGGGCTAGGGCATATGCTGGAGAAGAGGGAGTAGACGGGGAGCGTTACGAGTGGGTGGTGGATAGGCTGTATCGGATCCCTAACCTGTCCCAGAAAAAGAATACCCCTCCGCAGAATTGGCAGCTAATGGTGCCTGCGAAATACTGGCAAGAGATTCTGCGGATTGGGCATGATGTACCGTTAGCCGGACATCTAGGGTCCCGCCGCACAGCTCATAGGATCACCCAAAATTTCTGTCTAATATAGAGGCAGAGACAGTAGCTGATGTCCTGGTTAAGATTTTTACTATGGTAGAGTTCCCTAAGGAGATCCTCTCCGACCAGGGAACTCAGTTTACCACTGTGCTCACCCAGCAGCTGTGGAAGGTGTGCGGCATTAAACTGCTGCTTAGTTCACCTTATCACCCACAGACTAAAGGTCTCTGCGAGCGCTTTAATGGCACCCTCAAACAGATGTTGAGGACCTTTACTGACACATGCAGAGACTGGGAGTGATTCCTGCCTCATCTGCTATTTGCCTACAGAGAGGTGCCCCAGGAATCTACTGGGTTCTCTCATTTTGAGTTACTCTATGGGAGACGGGTCCGCTGACCACTGGATCTCTTTAGAGGGCACTGGGATAGAGAGACAGAGCAGGAAGGAACCCCCATAGTACCATATGTCCTGGAACTCCGGGACCACATGGAGAAACTAACCCTGATGGTAACGGAGAATCTCCAGGCGGCACAGGGGAGGCAGAAGAGGGGGTACGATCGGGGTGCCCGGCAGCGGTTCTTCCAGGTTGGGCAGAAAGTATTGGTGCTTAAGCCTGTGAAGACAAACAAGATGCAAGCATCTTGGCAGGGCTAGTATAAAGTAGTAGCTCAGGTGTGTGATATTACCTACCTTATAGCCAGCTGTGCAGATGAGAGGATTCAGCGATCCTTTCATGTGAACATGCTGAAGGAATGTCAGGAGAGACCAGAGGATGTCGCTGCAGTGTGTGCCCCTGCTGCAGATGACCTAGAGAATCTACCCCTGTGCGATTTATTGGAGAAGGACCCCCAGGCTGACCTCACTAGTCTTGTACAGCTAGGGGATCGGTTAAGCCCCACAGAGAAGGTACAGGCAAGGCAGCTGCTGTGGGAGAAGCAGGCGACGTTCTCCCAAGAGCCCGACTACCCGGTTCTGTGTGGACTACAGGCGACTCAACGAGTAGACCACCACTGACGCCTACCCGATGCCCCGGGTAGATGAATTGTTAGATCGTATTGCCAGGGGACGCTATCTGACCACCATAGACCTGTGTACAGGGCTACTGGCAGATTCCCCTGGCTGAGGATGCTATCCCCAAGTCAGCATTTGTCACCCCGTTTGGCCTGTACCAATTTAAGGTCATGCCATTCGGGATGAAAAATGCCCCAGCTACCTTCCAGCATATGGTGGATAGACTCCTTGATGGCTTCCAGGAATTTGCTTGTGCATACCTGGATGAAATTGCGATCTACAGTGAGTGCTGGGAGGAACACCTGGTCCATGTAGGAGTAGTGCTGGATAAGATTCAGGCCGCTGGCCTGACATTGAAGCCAGAGAAGTGCCATCTAGGTATGGCTGAAGTGCAGTACCTGGGTCACAGAGTGGGGTGTGGGAGCCAGAGGCCAGAGCCAGCCAAGGTAGAAGCAGTGGAGCACCCTGTCGCATATCTCAGCAGAAAGTTGCTACCTCAGGAAGTCAGCTATGGAGAAGGAATGTTTAGCCCTGGTCTGGGCACTGAGGAAGTTGAGCCCCTATTTATACGGACAGGAATTCTCCCTTAACGGACCACAATCCCCTCGTCTGGCTTAACCGGGTCTCAGGAGACAATGGTCGACTGCTGCGGTGGAGTTTAGCCTTACAACC